TTTGGAGATGTTACAACCTCTATGGTCTTGACCTTCTGCTTATTAGTTCCCTTGTCACGTTTACTGAGAGTTTCTTCTAGGGCTTGCAAACGAGCACCTAGGGTCTGTTCTAGGAAGTGAACCTCCTCTCTTGCAAGGGACTCCAGATTTCTCATGGAATCATAGAAGTTTTTATGTTCCTCAGAAACACATGATTCCATGGAACTTATCCTACCAATTAACGATAATCTTTCTTCCTTATATACTGTCTGAGTAGCCACAACTGCACTATGGAAAGTTAGTGTTCTATCCATTAAATATTCATATTTATTATCAATAAAATCAATTTTGGGTACAAACCTGTTTTGTAAATCCTGATTAGCAGATTCCAGAGAAAGAATCTTTTTCTGTAAGCCTTCATTACTATCTTTGAAAGCTTGTAAATCCTGGCTAGCAGATTCCAGAGAGAGAATCTTTTTCTGTAAGCCTTCATTGCTATTTTTTAAAGCAGATTCCAGAGAGAGAATCTTTTTCTGTAAGCCTTCATTGCTATCTTTTAAAGCAGATTCCAGAGAGAGAATCTTTTTCTGTAAGCCTTCATTGCTATCTTTGAAAGCAGATTCCAGAGAGAGAATCTTTTTCTGTAAGCCTTCATTGCTATCTTTTAAAGCCTGTATCAGTCCCAATAATGACTCATCTTTGTTCTTCAACCAGTGTTTGAACACTGTGTGAATTATTATGATGAATGCCAAAATGGTATAGCCCAGATATGCCTTAGGAATGTCGTATATTTCCAGGAAGATGTCATTCATCATACAGGCAAAAAGGTTTTTAAATTCTTGTGAGGTAATGTTGTCGGCCATATTACGCGAATTACTCAAAATTTGTTAGTCAATTTTAAGGTGTAAAATTATCAAGTACCTTTACTTGAAACAATATGCTTACCCTTCGTGGGTTTTAGTGCATGTAGTAGCACTTTTCAGCCAGCAGGTGGCGTTGATACAGCTCCAAAACAGGGCCTGCTGGCGATCTTGGCTGGAGTCGGAGATGGCAGAAATGGCGGAAATGGAGGAGATGGCGGAAATCGGAGCTAGCACTCCCCTGCCTCTTTCGCTGGTCTGGGGCTAAGCTAGGAAATTGAGATTGGACTAGCTGTTCCCTTTTTCAGGAATGGAACCGTGTAAGTGTTCCCTGGTTATATGGAACTTTGCAGGCGGGTTTATGTACCCGCCAGCTAGGGAGAAGAGGGCGGGAGCCGCCCAGGCCTTTGGAGTTTGCCCCACGTGAGCGCCAGATATTGGAGAAATTATTTTGGCCACTCCACATAGTTAAAAGGATATTTATTTAATGGCGTAACTCACAAATTAAGTGAAAGGTAGGTCACAGGGTCTGGGGAAGGTGTATCGCAATCCAGCGGTGTTCTCCAGAGCTCTGCACAGTCCACCTCCACCTTTCAGCGTCCTGGCACAGAGAGAGCGCTGGCCCATCCAGCTCTCTGGTCTCCAGGAGCCTCCCCTGGCCCCGCCTCGTAGGCGTGACAGTTGCCAGAGTCTCAATGGGGGCTGGAACTTCCAGATCCAAGCTGGAATGGCTACCCACTACATTTTTCTCTCCCCCAACCCCTGTCTTGTTAGACACAGGTTCTCAGTCTGCAATCCAGGCTGGCCTAGATCTCACTGTGAAGTCCAAGATGGCAATCCACTTGCTTCAGCCTCCAAGACACCGGCACTTAAACAATAATGAAAAAATAAACAAGAAAACTTTGAAAGTAAAGATGTGAAAATTAAAGGTGTGCTAAGAGTTAGACAGACAGTCAGAGAGAGAAAAGAACAAATTGATTTGGAGAGCAAACTGAATATTACTTTAAGATCTGATATTTGGAATCATTTTTGGGCAAAATAAGAAACCAATCATGCAAGAATTGTTAACCTGGAAATTGTTTCTGTCTGTGTGTGAGAGTTTATCTCCTTTAATCTTTTTAATCCAAATTAACACTCCAAAATTAGCTTTCCTGCAGACATGCATAACTTCCAGGAGTGCATTCCATCCACTTCTTGTACGGATTCAGTGAGAGTTTCGAATAAGGATGAATTTCAGGGCAAGCATGCTTTCCACTGGCCAGGATTAATTTCTGTTTAGAAAACTTATTGAAGAACATAAACCCTCCATGTGATTATTTCTTTCATGTATATAAGTTAGATATGGAATAAACAGTGCTGTGCACATTTGCTGCGGGATCTGGAGGGTTTCTGTTTGGCATTGTGCTCACACAATTATTCTGACTGGGCCCATGATCTAAAGAAAACCATCGCTGCAGACATTGTCTTCAGAAGTCACGGTTGATGCCAGGCATGGTGGCACATGCCTGTGGACCCAGCACTGGGGTGCAAGTCTGAAGCCAGTCTGGCCTGCATAGTGAAACTCAAAAAAAAAAAAAAAAAAGCAAAGCAAAGCAAAAATAGCAGCAAAGAAATTTATGATTTAAACATGATTATATGATGCATGCCCTGCCATTCTTAAGCTTGTCTTTTAGATAGAAAGCTTTACAATGAGTAGTGGGAAGAAAATTATTGTAATTCCTCATTATAAGGTACAAGTGAATTTGAAAAAAATGTTCTCATCTTTCCTCCACTAGAATTAGAACATTTCAGGATGTTTGGTTTATAGCTTTCACCCATCTCTATAAATGGCGCAGACATGATGCAGGTGGGGTGCAGACATGATGCAGGTGGGGTGCAGACATGATGCAGGTGAGGTGCAGACATGGTGCAGGTGGGGACGCAGACATGGTGCAGGTGGGAGCAGACATGATGCAGGTGGGGACGCACACATGGTGCAGGTGAGGATGCAGACACGATGCAGGTGAGGATGCAGACATGGTGCAGGTGGGGTGCAGACATGATGCAGGTGAGGTGCAGACATGATGCAGGTAAGGGGCAGACATGATGCAGGTGAGGTGCATACATGATGCAGGTGAGGATGCAGACATGGTGCAGGTGGGAGCAGACATGATGCAGGTGGGGTGCAGACTTGATGCAGGTGGGACGCAGACATGATGCAGGTGGGGTGCAGACTTGATGCAGGTGGGATGCAGACATGATGCAGGTGGGGTGCAGACTTGATGCAGGTGGGGTGCAGACTTGATGCAGGTGAGGGGCAGAAATGAGCACAGGTGAAGGGCAGACATGAACACAGGTAGGCACTTTATATGCTTGTAGTCAAGAAAGCTTTTATGGAAGTTGTCTTACTTAGAGTTTCTATTGCTGCGAAGAGACACCATGACCAGGGCAACTCCTATAAATGAAAAACATTTCATTGGGGTGGCTTACATTTTTCAGAGATTCAGTTTATTGTCATCATGATGGGACATGGCAGCATGCAGGCAAACATGGTACTGGACAAGGAGCTGAGAGTCCTACATCTCGACCCGCAGGCAACAGGAAGTGGTCTGAGACACTGGGCGTATCTTGAGCATAGACCTTAAAGCCCACCCCCACAGTGATACACTTCCTCCAACAAAGCCACACCTCCTAGCAATGCCACTCTCATGGGGCGAGTTGCATTCAAACTAGCACAGAGATGAGAGGTTTTTGACTGGACAGTCTCCTCCATCATTTGGATAGAGATGATTTTCCCCGATAAACACAGAAAAGTGAAAACTTGTCCTATACCCCTAATTCCTCCTTTCCGGGACTTCATCCTGTGTCAGGGGCGCTTTGTGTGGCCGAAAGTGACTCACAGCACGTTCTTGCCTAGAGAGGGCCTAGGAGGAGAGCAAGCCTTAATAAGAAAAATCCAATTAACTTTCCTCCTGCACTCTACCACATGAAGGTCTGAATAACTTTGGGCATGTGTATGCTTCTTGACCTGGAACTCATCCATCTCCCTGAGGACTTCTGTTCTTGCAGATCATTAGAATAAAATAATCATTCACGAGATCTGACTGGGCTTAACTACAACTGTATCAACACCACAATGATATTGAGGATATGACAACTAAATAAGTAAGCAGATAAATTATTTATAATTAACTATCATTTCTAGAAAAATTTACTTATGGGTACTGGTTGTTTTTTGTATCCAGTATCCATAAATTAAAATATGGAGGAAGATGATTTGATGTAAAAAAAAAAAAATCAGTAATGAAGGTGTTTAGATTGAATTTCTACCCTGTCACACACTATGACCTTGAACAAATTACTTAACCTCCTGGTGGCTTAATTTCCACATCTAAAGAAGGGTAAATTACCACCTACATTATTTACAGAGAGGTTGAGGATTTACTTAACATAGTAATTAGTAGGACTCTATTATTTTAGTAAACTTCTAACTCCTCTGGAAGTCTACATAGATTTAATTTACGGGAAATCTTAATGCTGAAATTACTACTGATTTTTTTCAGAGCTATCCAACTATAAAATTGGCAAATGTTTCCCCTTGGGCAAGATAAATGAGTTTGCTCTGCTATGAACTCATCAGATGACAAGAATAGAGAGTTCAAGTCCACACGAAGAGTCACACAGTAATCAAACACTTTGACACACAACCCATCTCAACTGTGACGTTCATCACGTCTGTAACCACAGCTCAGCCCATTGCCTTGGAGCACACAGGTGGGCCACCAAGGAACCAGAGCCTCCACTTGGGGGAGGGGACTTGTGCTTTTTAATAACTTTACTCAAAAGGAAGAAGGGGGAGGAGAAGGAAAAGGAAAAGAGGAGGAGGAGGAGGAAGAAATGCAAAATCCTAATTTTACTAACTGCCTCAGTTAATAAGATTACTGCTGTCTCAATTGTTAGGATACAAACCTCAAGAGCATAAAGGTTTTGGTCTCTTTTCTTCAATACCTGTGCTGTATTGTGTCAACTTGACACAAGCTAAGGTCTTCTGAGAGGAGAAACTTCAATTAAGAAAATGTCTCTTAACTAGTGATTGATGTGGGAGGCCCAGCCCACAATGAGTGGGGCCATCCCTTGGCGGGTGGTCCTGGGTTCTATAAGAAAGCAGGCTGAGCAAGCCATGAGGAGCAAGCCAGTAAGCAGTACCCTCCATGGCCTCTGTCTCAGTTCCTGCCTCTGGGTCCCTGCACTGTTTAAATTCCTGCCTTGACTTCCCTCAGTGGTGGACTGCTGTCACCTGGAAGTGTAAGCTTAAATAAACCCTTTCCTCCCCAAGTTGCCTTGGTCATGGTGTTTCATCACAGCAACTGAAATCTGAACTACCATTGCTCCCTGTCCTAGAACAATGCTTGAATATGCTAAAAATAAACATTTGTTTAATTATAAAATTATTCTCAATCATGGGTATAGGACCCTCTTTCTTTGAGTGTTTATGGAACCACTGAATTTACCAGAAAACAATTACATAGAAAAGCCTCATTCGAGGCCTGTCAGATTATATAATGTAAACACGCTGAAATGTGTGTTGAGAATACTTAGGAACAGTATAATGACAGCTCAGAAGCATCCCTACTCATCATCGCACCCATTAATAGGTATCACTTGATACCTATTGCCCATAGCCAAGGTTGGCCTACATTATTTTTAAAATATCCTTTTGGTCTCAAGAAGCCTTGCTTTAGACAACAGAAGATGTTCTTCTTCCTGCTCACCCACCCCACCCACCAGGAAATTTAGAACATAGGTTCAGTTTGCAAGTAAACTCTTCCTCCCAAACAAAGCCTGGAGCAAATCCTGCAGCAATCTGTCGGAATGGATCCATGAGTAACAGCAACCTGAACACACTGGGTTAGAATAAAAAGAATGATTAACTAGATGTTAACAAATTGACCCAGGTGTTGTGGACAGGTGTGGTAGGCTGAAGCAGGGGGATGACCTTCAGAGGCCAGGCCGGGCTGTGCTGCACAGTGCTCATCTGTCTTAGAATGGAAGAGGAGGAAGAGGAGAAGGAGGAGGAGAAGGGGGAAGGGTGGAGTCGAAGGATGGGTGGTGGAGAGGAGAAGGAGGAGGAGAGGGAGGAGGAGGAAAAGGGGAGGGTGGAGTGGAGGAATGGGTGGTGAAGAGGAGGAGGAGGGAAGAAGAAGAGGAAGCAGAGGAGGAAGGAGGAAGGGAAGAGGGACAGGAAAGAAGAGAAGGAGGAGGCAGAAAATACCACCAAGCTGGAAGTAGGGTCTTCGTCTCCCACCCGCTGAGCACCCACATGGGAAATGTTTACATTTGCTCACTGAAGAGACCAGGACTGGCTGACCTAAACTAAGAAGCAAACAGGCAAATAGACCCTTTAGGGGCCTGTCTAGCTCTAGTCTCAAATTCTTCCATTCAGCCATTGCACTTTATCCGTCCTTTCTCTTTTTTGTATATGTGGACAGGGCCCAATAATTTATTATTGCACGTTGAACACATTTTCGAGCTAGTAAATGATTTCAGAAATCATTTATATGCTGTTATTAAAAATACAGAAAAGATTAAAACCAACTCTAAAATGCTTTAGAATTATTACACTCTAAAGTTTAACCTCAGGGTTTGGGTTGTTAAATCCAAAATATGCATGTATTTCTAAACGATTTCAGAAATCCTAAATAAGAAAAAAATCAATAGTGTGTCCTGTCTTCATCCTCAGAGGACGGTCGCAGGAGATTCTGCACACAGAAGCTGGGGGTCCCTAAGCCGTGTTCCGGTCCCCTGTACTCACCACCACCACAAAGCAGTGACAAAGAGCAGAGGGTAAGCTATGGTGGAGGATTTGAGGGATGCGATGGTTTGAATTATGATCCCCCACCCCACCCCCTCAAAAAAACCAGTATGTTTCTGAGCTGTGATCTCCAGGACTCTCATAGTGGAGAAAAGAACTGACTCTTGCAAGTTGTCCTCTGGTCTCCACATCTGTTCCACAGTAATGCATCTGTTCGAACATTGTCTTTGAGTTTCTATTGCGGTGGCAAACACCCTAACAGAAAGCAGCTTGCAGAGGGAAGGGTTTATTTCACGGTAACTTCCAGGTAGCCATCCATCACTGAGGGAGGACAGGGCAGGAACTAACACAGAGCCATGGAGGGGAGCTGCTTACTGGCTGGCCATGGCTTGCTCAGGCTGCTTCCTTATAGAACCTAGGACCACCTGACCAGGGGTTACACTGCCCATACTTATTTGAGCCCTCATACACCAGGATTTATCCCTGCAGGCTTGCCTACAGACCAGTCTGGTGGGGACATTTTCTCAGTTGAGAGTCCCTCTTCCCAAATGACAATAGCCTATGTCAAGTTCATACACACACACACACACACACACACACACACACACACACACACACACACACACATACACACTGTAATTTTTAAAGGTGTGCTCCAGGAGCTGGAGAGATGGCTCAGCAGTTCAGAATACTTGCTGCTTTTTGAGAGGACCTGGCTTTAATTCCAAGTACCCACATGGTAGCTCACCACCAACTGTAACTCCAGTTCTAGAGGATGAATCAGATGCCCTCTTCTGGCCTCTGGGGACACCAGGCACTCATGTGGTGCACAGCCACATAGACAGGCAAAACTTGTATACACACAAAATAAAAAATTTAGGAAAAATATTTGTCCTAACCCTACAAAATGAGAGTGAGAGCTTACTTGGAAATAGAAAAATCTTTAACATGACCAAACTGGGATAGACTATATCAGATCAGGGTAAATTCATGAAAGGAAAGACAAAGAGACAAGGCCATGTCATGGAGACAGCGATTCGGAATAGCTAGCAGGCAAGGAAGTCAAAGATGCAAGCCAACATTTGCGGCTGGGAATGAGGGCCAGGTCAGTGTCTCCCTCAGGGCCCCTAAAGGAACCAAGCCTTCAAATACTTGATCTCTAACTTAAGTCTCCTCGGGACTGTGAAACCGAGAATCATCATTGTTCAAGTCTCCCAGTTTGTGGTGCTTTGCTGTGGCAGACCTGAGGGATCAAAGCAGCTTCCGTTTGCCTGTGTCTCTTCCACAACTAAGTCTAGAAATGCTTGATTTGGCTGCGTGGACAGGAAGAGAATGTGACCCTGGTGACAAACGCTCATGAGATCAAGACCATTTCCTCCGTGTCAGCTCCAGGTCTCAAGCCTTACTCATGGCCCTCGTGGGTTCCTTTGAGAGCAGAGTGTGGTTGGCCCATCCTCCCCCATGCTTCCCCAGCATGTAGCACAGACTTATTTTTAAGGGTTTTTCTACTGTCGTTGCAAAGAAATGGGGATTTAGAAATGATTAAAAACTAATAAAAAAATTACACATGGCTTTCCTAAGGTGTCATTGAAGTTTTGCCTATTCATGCCACAGGGGCCTTGCTCTACAAGGATGCCTGTGTTTGTGTACAGAATCACTTCGTGCACATTTCTAAACTCAGAGCCTGTCTTGGACCACTGAACCTAAATGGATATGAAAATTTAGTCTCTGCTCTCCAGTGATTATGCTGTATAAAGAGGGAAATGTTTACCCTAAAAAGGACAATGGTTATGAAGAGCAACTATAGTTATTAAGATTGGCATAAGTTAACTGTCATGAACAACCTCTACAGCAAAATGACTCTGAATTAAGGATTGGAAACTATAGGTGTCTGTCTATTGAGAAGAGGGAGGCACTCTGAGACAAGCAAGAGTCAGGATATGTCTGTATTCACACAGAGACATATACATGTTTGCAAATACATGGAACGGCAAGGTATTTGCTATGGCAGAGTAACATGAAATGAAATTTAAAACAAATACGAAAACTATCCCATGGAAATACAAAGACAAAAGAAAATGCTCAAAAACTTTAGTTCATAAACTCTTGCAGATTCTTCTTAAGTAACCTTCACATGTGGCTCCATGTATCATAGTAGCTTAAGCATTATCAGTTAAGAGACCCCCCCCCCCAATATCAGAGAAACCAGTCCTTTGCACAAGAGATCAAGAATAGCATTGGTGGGCTGGAGAGATGGCTCAGAGGTTAAGAGCACACTGGCTGTTCTTCCAGAGGTCCTGAGTTCAATTCCCAGCAACCACATGATGACTCACAACCATCTGTAATGAGATCTGGCGCCCTCTTCTGGCGTACAGGGGTACATGCAGATGGAACACTGTATACATAATAAATAAATAAATCTTTTTTTAAAAAAAGAATAGCATTGGTTATAATCCTGAGTTTTATATGGAACAGCAGGAAAAACAAAAAGGGAATAAAAGTGAAATAGAAATGGTGAGAGAGGAGGCCAGTGGGTTGATTCAGCAGGCAAAGGGCCCTGCTCTTCAAGCCTAACGACCTGGATTCGATCCCCACAGCTCACATCTGGAAGGAGACAACAAACTCCCAAAAGCTGTACTTTAATCTCCTCGTGTGCAGTGTGGCACGTGTGTGCTTATACACAAAAAGAAATATATTTATGCAAAAGTGCGTTGTGTAAAAGTGCATTTATGTGCTTTTAAAACAGGAAAGGGGCAGACTAAATGCACCTGGGTCAGCAAGTCCATGTGGGTAGTTAGAGCAGAGAGAACCAAAGGGTAGCTTCCAGGGTTCTGGCATCGGTGACACAAACAGAAGCCTCACAAGAATGGAGGCAAGGAGGAGAGTGAGTTCCGTGTGTGTGAATACTAAGAGCACAATTCCCTGGAAGGAAATCCTGGCCGAGTCATCTAGTGATCGACATCGACCACAGAACTGGAACTCAGATGACAGACAAGATGGGAGTCAGAGATAAGTGAACGACAGCGGAAGCTAAAGAAATAGATAAGCTCTGTCAGGCACAGGCATGAAGTAAAGGAAGAAGGAACGCGTGCTGGGAGTGGTTAGAAGCGCAGGCTCTGTGGCCAAGCAGAACCTTAGTCCCATCACTAACTAGCTCTGTCACTTGGGACACCTTTGCTCTTCCCATTCCCTCAAGAATGAAATAACCCCGGGGCAGTGGTGGAGCATGCCTTTAATCCCAGCACTCGGGAGGCAGAGCCAGGTGGATCTCTGTGAGTTCAAGTCCAGCCTGGGCTACAGAGTGAGTTCCAGGAAAGGCGTAGAGCTACACAGAGAAACCCTCTCTTGAAAAAAAACAAAACAAAACAAAAAACAACAACAAAAGAATGAAATACAGTGCAAAGTCAAGCTATTTCTGTAAAGTGCTTGAAAGAATGCCTGACCCTTAGCCAATGCTCAATATTAAAGGAGGGAGGGAGAGAGGGGAGGGAAGGGGAGAAGGACAGGGAAGGGGGAGAACATCAAGGAAAGAACTCCAAGGAAAAACAACATGTGTGTAGTGGCCAAAATGAAGGAAATGAAAAGATGGACTGGGGAGACACTCAGAGTGAGAAGTCACAAGCAGCAAGGAATCTCAGGATAGCACGTTCAGGCGAAGGCTGGATCTTCAGAGAGTCTGAAGAAAGGAAGACGGGTGAGCAGTCTGCTGGCCTGGTACTCGGGTTGGTGGGATGCTCGCAGGCAGTGCGGTGAAGCAGGCAAAGCAGAGGCCTGCTGGGCGGCCACCACACACCCTCCTCGCCAGCCTTCTGCTCTCGATACAGACCTCCTTGGAATGAGGGAACAACATGACTGAGCATTTCTTCTACTTTGCTTAAGTTCTTAAAGTCTGTGCAAATTTCTCTGGGGCTGAAAATTTAAGAAGATACTGCAAATAAACCCAAAAACTTATATTTTATTGTATCTCATCCTTGCAGAAGTTAATACCTATATATGTATATTGATAGTATCCATCTAGTACTCTTCCCCTCCAATTTCTCCCAGGTACCCCCCACCCACCCATCCCCTCCCAACTTCATGTTCTCTTCTTTTTAACATAACCCAGTTGGTCTAATTAGTGATAAGTACATGCACAAGGGCCACCCACCAGAGCATGGGAAATCTACTAGATGCCACATTCCCAAAGAAAAATTATTCTCCTTTCCCAAGACACCGTCAACAACAATAGCTCCTTGGTTGGTGTGGTGGTTTGAAAGAAAATGGCCTCCAAAGGGAGGGAGTGTCACAGTTATTAGGACGTGATCTTGTTGGATTACGTGTGGCCTTGTTGGAGGAAGTATGTCACTGTGGGGATGGGCTTTGAGATCTCCTATGCTCAAGCTACACTCAGTTTTGGAGTTCACTTCCTGTTGCCTGTGGATCCAGATGTAGAACTCTCAGCTCCTTCTCCAGCACCATGTCTGCCTGCATGCTGCCATGTCCCACCATAATAATGCACTAAACCTCTGAAACTGTAAGCCACCCCAACTAAATGTTTTCCTTTATGAGTGTTGTCATGGTCATGGTGTCTCTTCATAGCAATAGAAACCCTAAGATTGTTGGGGATAGGGCCTCTGAACAGCCCCCTCCCATTCATACTGGAACTTTGATTGGCTTGATCTTGTGCAGTTCCTGTGCAGATAACCAAAGCTACTGAGAGATCGCAGCACAAGGCCCTGCCGTGTCCAGAAAACAACATTCCACAGGGCTCCTCACCACGCTCTGCTTTTTACGTTCTCTCCTGGGATGTTTCCTAAACAGGAATGTGGGGGGTGCTAGAGTCCATTTTAGGCAGAGTACCCCCAGGCAGCTATTCTTAACTGCTTGGCCAGTTATGAGCCTCTGCATTAACTGATGCCCACAGCACAAAGAAGCTTCTCTGATCAAGATGTAAAGCAGCACAAGTCTATGGGTCATAAACATAAGGCAGTTTGACAACAGGACCATTTATTGAAATAATAGTAGGCTCCCTCTAGGACCTATGAACCTTATCTCCCAATATATTGTTTTAATGATGTTTTGTCATTCATTTTTTAGCATATATTAAATGCATATAATGGGATTCATTATGGCATTTGCATGCACGTATA